ATAGCACTTACCTTACAAGCTTATGCTATTTTATTTCTCAGAAATGGTGATAAATGGAAGAATTGTATACAGGGGTTTACTCTTTCAGGAGTCTTATGCATTTTTTTAGTATTTGCTGTGAAAAAGACCAGTTAAGGCCTTGATCCAGAAGAATTATAATTTATTACCTTTATTACCAAGCATTTTCCCACTACTACATAGTATTTCTAGAACTGGCATTGTCTTCCCTAAGCTCAAAAAGTATAAATTCTCTTCTTAGCTTGTATTTTTTTTATGGAAAGGGTAATTATACCAATGCCATCAACTGCATGGGCAAGAAGCTATAAAAACATAAGCATCGCAAGCCAATTGAGTCATCTGATTCAACTTAGTGCAATGTATGCTTCTTCTTATCTACTTTGTCCTGTATTTCCTTGGAGTCACATAGATCATTTATTGTGACTACAGAGGGAAATAACATTGGACACCACCTTTGACAGTGAGTGGTGAGTGCCCAAGGCACAACTTTATTAACTGGTAGTGTACTGTTCATCTTGTTTTTAGCTGCTAAAGAGTTGGAAGGTAGGCTGTCAAGTACCAGGAGTGTTTCACTGTGCTGTTTTTATTCTTTCACTCTAATTTTGTTAGTGGGGTGGTTTCATTGGATCTTTACTCCCTTAACAAGTGATACTTCTTGTTATAAACTGCGTGATTTCATCAACCCAAACGTCAGATTATCAGTGGGTGGGCAGTATCTGCTTTTAATCTCTATGTGGTGCTGTCCTTTAAAATCCTCACCCTGTTTTTCCCCTGCTTTCAAGTATATTGGTTGCTATGGAAACAAAATCAGTGTTGTGAGCTTCTAAATCTTGAATACATTTGAGTCTCTTGTTTTCTTTCCTCTTGTTTATATACAGTGGTTCTTTTCCTCCCACACTAAATCTGTACTTTATTTCAGAAAGGGATGCTGAGCAAACTCTCCACTGCTGCTTCCTTAAAGTTAAATGCTAGGAATCTGTCGTATCCAACCATTCTTATATCAGAGATTCTGATACTACTTTTTGTGTTTCTGCTGATCTGAGTCTGATTCTATTTGCAGAAAATCAAATATCTAAATTTTTGTGCCAGAAAGTAATAAATATCTATAGTAATTGAAAAATGAAAACTTGGACAACTGGTTTTTCTTGTATCACAGAATGGCTGAGGTTGGAAGGGACCTCTGGAGATTGCCTGGCCCAACCCACCTGCTTTAGCAAGACCATCTAGAGTCAATTGTCCAGGCTGATATCTAGAAGGATTTTGAATATCTTCTGTAACAGAGATCACAACACCCACCGGCCAGCTTGTGGCAATGCTCAGTCACCCTCACATTAAACAAGTGTTTTCTGATATTGGACAGACTTTTCCTTTTATTTCAGCTTGTGCCCATTGTCTCTAATCCTGGATACCACTGCATGCAGCCTGCAGTCAGTGTACACAGCCTCCTTTGGTGTGTGCAGGTAGAGATGCTGGCCCCTGCCCTCCACCAATCCTCTCCCAGCTTTCACTGGGCTAAACAGTCCCAGGTCTCTTGGCTGTTCCTACTGGGAGGGATGGCTCTCTTCGTCCACTGTGTGTCCCTTTGCTGGAGTCTTCAGTGTGTCACTGGCTACAGGGAAGCCCAGAATCAGACACAAAATACTGCAGCTCTGCAGGGGTGGCCTCACCAGCACTGCATAGAGGAAAAGGATCACATTCCCACTTAAATATTTCACCTTTCCCCTTTCTAGTGCAAAGTCCAGATGAGGTTTCTATGATAAACTCTTAATGTAAGTGAGGTACCTGATGGAAAACTGGCAGGAGACATTTTCATATAGTCATGTTTTGTAATTTTATACCTGTTGCTTGAACATTGTTCAAGACCAAAACTTAGGAGAGTTGAAAGTCACTTCAGGCTAAAAGGAGGAAGTGAATGTTAAATTAATTTTAAGACGCCAAACCAGAAACCAAATGAGAAGGCAATTGTAATCCAGAAGTACTGTGACAAAAAAGCTGATTCACTTCCTAGAATAAAGGGTATATCTGGCAGGTGGTCTGCTAAAGTTCCTAATGTGTTATGTTATACCCTAGAGAAAATAAATAAGCTACCAAAAAAGTACAAACTGTTGACCTCTAAGTGGAGGTAGATGCTGCTATTTGTTTAAGCAATTCTGGAATGCTTTGGCATTGTTTCACTTCCTAGCACAAAAGAAGAAATGACCTCTTCATGAAAAGAATGCTGTGGATAAGCCGGTTGCTACCTTATCAACTCTGCTATTGTAGTTATGCCAGCCAGACATGTTAGTGTGACTTAGACATACCCTGCTATGGTATTTATACTTTGTCAGAAGTGTTTGAGATTGATTTGTGACCTCATCTGGCATAGAGAGATGCTGCCAAGTTCTCAGAATTGATAAAATTTAAGTCCCCTTTCCAAGTTTATTTAAAATTTCCTCTCTTCAAAGAACTTGGAAAAAGATGGTGGTTTGCTACCTTTATTGTACTTATTTGCTGCTGGTGTTCCCATTCATCTGCTCTTTCCAAATCTTATTGCTATCTGAAATACCATAGCTACTGGTATTTCTTTCTGATATGTTTGAGCTTAGATTTTAAATAGTGATTTTTCCAGGGGGACTGTGAAGGTAAGAAAATGCTGCGTTCAGGGTGTGTGGAGGAGTCTCACTGTAATGAAGGGCAGATCTTTAAATGTTCTCTGGTTAGCTCTGAGGAGAGTCAGAGACAGATTGGACTAGCCCAACATGCTCTCTATCACTTAATAAGCCAATCTAATCAGGCAAGAACAACTCTTTTGAGATGAGAGCCACAAGTATGGTCATGTCTAGGGAAGTGCTCTCTATTTTTAGTAAACTGATTCTCAGCATTGTGCGATGTCGAAAGTAATGGGTGTGGGAGTTGGAAAGGGATCATTCGGGGTTCGTTTTGTTACTTAATTTCTTCTTTGTTTTTCCTATGTCAGGCTGAACAAGATCATTGTGGTCAGAAGTATATTAAGAAGCATACTTATTGTTTGTTGGGTAGTTGTGCAAGAGATAGAAAAATACAACAAAATGCAGGTGGCTGAAAGAGATTGAGGCTAAAAGGAAAAAAATAATATAGATATGGACATACAAATCTCTTCTTTTTTAAAGAAATAAAAACAACACCCCACCCTAATTATTAGCAATGACTCAGCTATCTCTAGATAGTTCAAATTGTACAGAAATAGAACAGTTTGAAGTGATTCTTGTTGGTTTAGGTCTTTGTGCTAAGCAGGCCTGAGGTAGGATTCATAAGGAGGTCTAGGTAAGTTGTAAAACGCTCTTGCAAAACATTTGCAAGAATTGTGGGTAGCATGTGAAAATCAATATTCTTGCCCCATTTTTCCATTCACCAACTCTTCTTCCTGCCATTTTTTTTACAGTTTCTCACAACTGATACTGCATAAATGTAGTGATTAGATTGTTTGCTTGTCAAAATGGAGAAGAGGAATGCATATCCTAATTACTAGACTATGAAAAAACAGCCCGTGAAGTGGTGTGAAGCAAGCTTTTGAAATGAAGGGACAACAAATTGGAAATACAAAGACCTGAGGCTTTCTGGCAGCTGCTCTCAAGGAGTTAAAAAGCTGAAGCAGTGATTTAAGGAAGTGATGGCAATGGAGAAGGTGCAATTCAGCAGGACAGTGGCAATAGCCCAGGGATTTGGCTTTAAGTTTTAGGTAAGGAGAAGGGGATGAAGGATAACAATAGAGGAGTAGGTAAAAGTTTCAGATTTATGCATCAAAAATGGAGGAAAGAGGAGGTTTGGAGACTGACAGCTTATCTTCCTAAATATCTAAAAGTGAGGTTTGAGAAATACTCACAAATTTTTAGCGTAGAGGAGCTGGCAGTTGGTGTCTAAGCCAGGGGAATAACCTTTGTCCTGGATATTTGTTCATTATGCTTCCTCTATAAATTGCAATATGTGAGGAACCTTTTATTGAGAAGTTAATAAAATTTTCACTTAAGAATTCTGTTTGCCCTACTCTTGGAGAAAAGATGGGAAAACAGTTCCTTTTCATTATGTAGCTATCAATCTCAAATTTATACTTTTCTACAGAAGTGTAAAATATGCAATAAGACTTCATGTATGCTGCCAAGTTTGGTTTTCTAATACAGTGGGAAGCGAAAAATTTCTAGCACTGTCAGAAATTCAGGCCTCTATGCTGAGACTAGCATTTGATGTTCACAGCAACAGAGGCAAAACTTGCTTTTTTTTTTTTTTTTGTTTCTGGAAACTAGGTGGCCTGGGGTGTTCTTCAGAACTTAATCTGAGCTCTTTCTTAAGGCTGTGAATTAATGTGGTTATTTAATGGAACTGTCAGTACATGGCACAATCAGGACTGGAAAACTTTCAAGTACAAATTGACCAGATAAACTATTAATTGTCTTGACAATATCCTTGGTATTCTCTGAAAGCCCAGTGCATTTCAGTAGCAGTGTCTCAATTTTTGTTTTGCTTTAGGTCACAGTTGACCTCTTGGTGCTATTTCCAAAATTCTGAGTATAACTTTAAGACACTTCCTTTCTGTGTGTTAGTTTTGTCTTGAAGGTTTGCTATTTTCTCTTAAAACTGCATGTTTAAGCATTCATTTTTGGGAGAACCCTGAACATTAAGTATTTTTGAACTCAAGTTCATATTTCTTCTCTTAAATAAAATCTTAAAGATCTGAAAGTGGAATATTTATCCATACTATAGTTCTTCTGATTTAAAATCTGCTTAATACACCATAAAATTTGAGATTTTTTCCTGGGATTAGTGAAAACATAGTTATATATATCTGTGTTATAGTATATACATATGTATGTATGTATAACTTTTTAACTTATATAATGCATTAAATAATCAAATTTCATAGCCAAGCAAACAGAAAAGAAAAATAATTAGTCTATTTTATATTCTTTTTTATCTTACTTAAAATGCAGCAGAAAATAATCCAAAACTGCATGTCCAAACAGCTAAAAAAGCATCTTAATTTAATTTCTGTAATATTTTTTATTTGAGACAGTTATACCTTCACTGTTGCCTTTTTACTAAATTATATCAGAAAGCAAAACATTAAATGTAGGATAGGAAATAGTGTGGAAATTGTTCCAGGAATTCTGTAGCAATTTTAACCCTGGTATAAAACATGAGGGATCTAGTCTTATTAGGTTAAGACTCTTTCATCTCATTAATTACAAAAGGGCTTCAGGGTTTCCTTTTAAAATTTTTAAATATTTGTTTTTACAAAAATCAGAGTTACTTCTCTCTTCTCTCCTGTTTTATGGCTGTACTCATGCGATGAGGAATGCGTCTCAAAGGGCAACTGTGAATAAAAGAATATATTTCCTGTGATAAGAATTTCCCCAATACAATCTAGAAGATGTTTCTGCAATGCTCTTGTGACTTTTTTATTTAAATGCATGACATACCTTAAATACTTAAATCCACTCATTGCTTCATTCAGTCTAGATAGAATTCTCTGTCAGCATCTTTGCCAATCATCTGACTGAATCCACAGTACAGAAAATTCATCAGTTGTTATTGGTGAGAACCTGAAAATACAAAGCCAATAATTAGAGTTGCACTCAGTGTTGAGTAGCTGGAGGAGCCACAAACAAGTTTGACCTTAGATAAAATTAACTCTTTGAATTCCAGTTTACTCATCTACAGTTTGTGTCTCAGGTATTTAGTTATAGTAATGTCTTGGAAATTGGATATCAGTGGTTTTTTTCATAGGCTTGTTATCAGCTGGAACCTTGGAAAAACAATAATAACTGCTCTGTACTTCAGCATGCTCACATACAGGTATTCATTGTGTATATCTACTGCTTTGCAGTCAAGCAAGTTGACCAAACAATATTAAAAAAAACCAAAAACCCAGTCTTTTAAAATTTGGGACATTTGATAGATGATGATTTCTTTATGATTATAATAGTGCAATTTGCTTTCATAAGTCTTTTTCATTTTGATATATCATCAAGTGATTACAGAAATTGAATGAGGGACAGAAAGATCGGCTATAGTTAATGACATTCAGGATGGCTGAACACTAGGTGTTTTCCACTGGGCTAGTTAATATATGTAGGAATAATTTCAATGGCATGCAATAAATAAAATTATGATTTTAATACAGCAATTACTTCTTAAGTTAGGATCTGCTCTTTTGATATTTCCGTCCAAGAGTGACAATGCCTTTTAATATTTGTTACTGTTCATGCTTTTAAAACAGTGTTAGAATGCAAATTAGTTATTCATAAACCGATTTAAGAGTTAAATGTTGCTTTAATGGAGATATGTTTTATATTGTATGGAGAAGCTGGAAACCAGTTTGTGAAGGAAAATAGCAGGACAGGGTAAACTACAGTGGTAAATGATATGCTAACACAAGTATCTATAGATAAGGCTGAGAAGAATGTTATTTCTGTCCCCAAACTGAAGACTGTTAGCAGTGTTCTGCTGAAGAATTGGTGAATACTGGTTTTCTTCCAGCTCTTATTGCTCTGGTATGAGCAACTGTTCTCCAGGTACTACAAGTGAGATCAGGAAGCTCATTTGAATTAACGTGGGAGTAGGATTTGAGCAAAGATACCAAATGATGTGTTCTATTTTCAGCTCTGTTCTAATACAGCAGGCAAGTGGTTATCTTTAAGCACTTAAATACTCATTGTAGGGTCAGTATGACTTCTATGCCTTACACTTAAATTTTTATGTAAGGGAAGTATACTAGAAGTCACTATTTCAGCTGCCTGGAATGTTCTGGAGCTTTCCTAGAAACACACTGGTATCAGTGTAACTGAGCCTCAGAGGACTACCAGAGGTTATTCAGTCTCACAGCTTCACCACGGGTCCAGTTCACATTCTTTGACATTATGATTTTAGTGAGTTTTGCCAGAAGAAATGGTATGATGCTGCATGCATCAGAAACTGTTTCTAGGCCTTGTGAGGACCTTTTAGATAAACTTAAGTTAGCTTCTCACAGTTTGTGCTTTAATTGTTTGCTGAATTGGAGCCATAATCTGCACTTGGGTTAAGCCTCTTCTAATTTCTGCCTAATCACTTATGAAACTGCAGAGAAGGAAAGGTTGCATGTACATGTATATTGTTAAGTCCTATAAGATACCGCAGGAAAAACCCCATCAGCCTTTTCTGGATAAGAGTGTGCCTGCATTACAGACTGAGTTCTAAATCCCTAAATATTGAATTATGAACTTGAAATCTTTAAACAGGTTATTATTTTAAAAAAATTCAAAAACATTTTAATGGATATACTCCCACTGTGCTTTCAGGTGCTGGGTATAGACAAACATCCTGAAATCTTTCCAAGCTGTAACATATGGTTTAAAAACTCATGGCCTCTGTGTTTCCAAAAGCTATTTTAGCCTGTCTGTGAAGAGTATTGTGATAGTAACCACACTTAGTGCAATAAAGAGATAGAAAACCTGTTTGTGTCTTCCCTTACTGAAGAGCATTTTTAATTTTTTTTTAAAGTCAGTGACTGTATCAATGCATTAAAAAGAAAGAGGCTGGATGTGCAGTCTGTCTCATGTTGCTCATTAACAAAAAAAAAGTAAACCAATCATGGTGAAATAGTGTTCTTGTAATGCAGGCTGGTTTTGTTTTAATACTTAGTATGTAAATAATTACTTCAGTAGTTTAATGTTTTCCAGGCAAAAGCTTCAGGATTGGGTTGCCAAATCAGCAGACCATCCCTTTTTGATCAAAAAGTACTGTTGAACAGTAGTCCTGGCACCTAAAATAGGTGTTCGAGTCAGAGGAGCAGGGAGTACTTTCACCGGATGCTAGAACAGACCCTTAGCCCCAGCTGCAGTTTGACAGACGTGGACATCCACCCATCTTTTTAAAGAAGGCTAAGAGACAAATAAACAAGACTAAATTAGCTTTCATTTCATTTCAGGTGTTGAAACACCTGTTTAAATATACTGGAATGTTTCAGCTCCAGCACCTCAGAAATCTAAACAGAATTTACTTGTTTCCTTGTGAGCCCCTCCCACCTCACTTTGACATTGCTCAGTACTGACTTTCAGAGAAACTTAGACAAGGAAAAGAGGCTAAAGATCCTGAGGCAGGAAATGCGTAAAATCCATCCAAGTGGACCTTAGTTCTCTACCCAGGACTCCACTGTGACACTGCTGCCCTTGAATCCTGAGAGCAGCAAATTCACTTGGAGCAGCAGAGCTTTGTCTACAAGTTGTTGTTCAGAAGTGAAAATTCTGCTGTAGCCCTAGAAAAGCACAACTGAACAAGGAAAGGCCATTATTTCATATATGTATTAAATTAATCCCTGCTAACAACTGGGAAGTTCTGACCAATGCTCCAAATTCCTGTGTATGACATGCAGTATGCTTGCTTAGATATATTTAATGCTTCTAAATGACTTTTTGAGAACTGTAGGCTGAAGGATGCTGCTTGTGCTCTCTAGCTTATATTCCTGACTCTCTAGGCAGTTGAGATACGAGTTTGTGACAGGTCTTGAAGAGCAGAAAATTTTATGAGCAATTTTAAATTGCTCACAAATGTCTCCTTTTCTTCCTACTTCTAACTGAAATGAAAAAAAAATATGTTATTCTAAATAGAATAAAATTGGTGTACATGGTGATTGCAATGCACAATCTTTGGAAATCATCTAACAAGCAGCAACCATTAACCCTTTAAGATCAACCAATGTGTTTATGCACACAAGGAATTGTGATGTCAGGGGTTAGCTCGTGAGTGAGCTAGTGAATGAGTGGGGACCTACTGCTGGAAAACCAGGTGACTATTGTATCATGTTTATCCCTAACGGCTATTTCCTAAGTAAGGACGATTATTTACCCTGAGCGCTTATACAGTTCCCTGTCAATTTTGGCGCATCCGAGGCGCTTCCCTCGTTCACACGGC